GCTGCTTGGGGTGGCAAAAACCCTGGAGCTGGCCCTGCTCCCTCCTCACCCCATCTGCCCAGTCCAGCTACTCATGTGGGGTGCTGAGGATTTGACTTATTGTGCCCTCTCATACCAGTGCATTTTAGAAACGGTGGGTCATTATGGAAGCTTTTATCAGCCATAAATAGGCAAAGTTTTAAGTTTTGCCCTTCAGTAGGTTTGACATAGCATCCCCCCCAGGAGGCACAGAGGAGAGATCTATAACATGAACGCATATAGCTAAAAGTCCTTAAGACTTCAAATAGAAAAGTGAGACCCACTGAAAGAGCACCATCAGCAAATCTGGGATTGTATTACTGAGAGCAGCATTAAAGAGATCCAGGGAGACGCAAGACATGAGACAATGAAAATTCTTGTATGAGCGAAGCATGGCAAATGTTCTCAAATATGCTGTTTACAGAGAAAACAACGTAACATTTCCAGTGCTTGAGGGAAATCTGCTCTGAATGCTTGGTGTGAGAGGTCAGTTTTAGCTAAAGCTACTGGAGTTTGCATAGGGCTCTCTCAGGAAATTGAGCTGAGCTATAGTTAGTACAGCAGTTAGAATGGTTAATATTTTGAATACTAGTCATTGCTCGAAGTGCGTGCAGGGTTCCAAGGGGAAGAGATTGCTTAACAGAATCAAAAGGTCTTCCTTTGCTGCCACAGGATATAAGCAACTCCCATGGAAATCAGTGGGAGGATCAGGCCCTCAGGGGGAAGTTAGCTGGGATTCTACTTCAGGCAGCAGCAGAGACATTTTCAGCTTGTAAGGGGAGGCATCAGCTGTGATACGTAACCGGTTGCCAAAGTGGGGTAGAGGAGAGGGGTGTCCAGGCCAGTGCAAAGAAGGGAGAATAAGACACAGCGCAGTTTGGTCTCCCTCCTAAAAGATGGCAGCCACCAGGATGTTGTAGACCCATGTTAGAGTGGGGGTTGTGGGGGGGGGGGGGGGGGGGGGAGGGCTGTCTTTTTGTTCTGTGTTTGTACAGCACCGGGCACAAAGGGAGGCTGATCCATGACTGGGGCTCCTAGGTGCTACACCAATACAAATAAACAATAATTAATAATAAAGGCTACAATCCCACAGGTGCTTAAGCCAATCTTTTTCTTCTTTTGAATATTAATATCTTCTGGTTTTTACTACAAATTCATCTGTTTCTACAGCCTTTGTTAAATATTAGTTTCCCTTTAGCCAGAGGTGGGCAAACTATGGCCCACGGGACCCTCCTGCCCGGCCCCTGATCTCCTGGCCCGGGAGGCTACCCCTGGCCCCTCCCCTGCTGTTCCCCCTCCCCCGCAGCCTCAGCTCGCCACGCTGCCGCCACAATGCTCTGGGCGGCTGGACAGCACAGCTGCAGAGCCGCAGCCTGACTCTGTGCTGCGCGGTGGCATGGCTGGCTCCAGCCACAGCTGCGCCACCAGCCACTGGTGCTCCAGGCAACACGGTAAGGGAGCAGGGGGGATTGGATAGAGGGCAGGGGAGTTTTGGGTGGTGGTCAGGGGGTGGGGGTGTGGACAGGAGCGCCGCCAGCTTTTTGTCTCCAACCTGGGCCCTGATTGACTCCCAGTAAGCCCTTCCCCCATTGGCTGTGCGTCTGCACAGGCCCACTGGCCTGCCGCACCCCATACTCTCAGGGAGTGGGGCAGCCACCCCACTACAGGGACCAAGACAAAGCCCTGTGGAACACCCACAGAAAGCTGAGGGGGGAATGAGGAGGATTACCGAGGTAGGAGAAGAACCAGGAAACGAAAAGAGTAATGGATGCCAAGGAAGGATTACATGGTTTTTTTTTAAGAAGAAGAAGAATATGGTCAGTGGTATTGAAGGCAGCTGACAGGTCAAGAAGGATGAGAGGGGGTTCTGCTTTTGAGCTTAGCTAGGAAGAGGTCATTAGAGACTTTGGGAAAAGCAGTTTCAGTGGAGTGGAAGAGGTGAAAGCTGGACTGCAGAGAGTCTAGAATAGAATTGGAGGAGAGGAACTCCAGATAGTGAATATAAACAGCACTTTCAATGAACTTAGAGAGGAAAGGGAAAAGGGAGATATAGCAGTAGGTGAGGAAGCAAATGGGGTAAAGGGTGGCATTTTTTAAGATAGAAGAGACTAAAGCATGTTTGTATGGTGAGGGGAAAGAGCCAAAGAAGCATGAGAGGTTAAGGAAAAGAGTCATAGGGGGATGAGAGTACATATGAGGGAGATTGGGATGGTGGTCACTGGGGTAAATGGAGAGATTAAAGGAGGACAGCAGACGAGACACTTCTGCATCTATGACAGGAGATAGGGTGGTGAAAAGGCAGCTGGAATTGTGGGCATGGGATTCAGTTAAATTGGAGAAGTACAGTTGTTTTGCAAAAATGATGGCAGAAATGAAGGAGGAGAGAATGAATTTGTTCTGGAGGAAGTCGGCCTGGTCACAGGATTTCTGCCAGACACGCCCCGCAGCACGTGACCAGGAGCACAGGAAGTGGCTATTGGGGGTGAGCCCAATAGGGCTGGGGGCTGGCAGGGCAGATCTTGCAATGGGAGAGACGGCAAAAGAGTCAAGCGTGTAGAAGAGTGAAGCACAAAGAGAGTTAACAACCATATCAGTGGAAGAGAGGGCAGGGAGGAGAGGGCTGAGAAGAGACAAGAAGTCATCAGTGCTGATGGACTGGAAGTCATGGAAAGGCCAAATGAAAGGGCATGGGGAGTGCTGGTGGGTGATGCTGAAAGAGCCCCGGTGATGTTCAGAGAGGGGAAACTCAGCAACAGAGAGATCAGAGAGAGCAGTGCTTGGTGAGGACCATGTCAAGTGAACGTCTCTTTTGGTGAGTGGGAGAGTTGAATCAGCATTGCAAGTTGAATGAAGAAGTGTGGGGGAGGAAACTTGTAGCTAAGTGGTCAGAGGGGTCATCCACATGGAAGCTGAAGACACCAAAGATGAGTGTGGGAGACTGTGAGGAGAGGAAGACAGAGAGCCAGGAGTCAAAATCAGAGAGGAAGGCTGACGAGGAGGAGCTGGGCAGATGGTAGAGATGGACATGGAGTGGGGAGAGGAGAGAAGAGTCAGATACAGTGCTGTTCAAAAGAGGAGAAAGGGGAGGAACAGAAGATAAGCCCAACACCCTGTCATGGCCCCATCCAGGGCAGAGAGTGGAGAAGGAGAGGACTCCATAAAAGAGTGCAACTGCAAAGGCAGTGTCAGCCGAAGGGATCCAGGTTGCTATGAGAGCCGGGAGCTGGAGGGCGTGAGATATGAGGACGTCATGGATTGTTGTGATCTTTTTGGGTATCGAGTGTGAGTTCCAGAGACAGCGAGAGAAGGGGGGGCACGGGCATGAGGTTAGGCATGGTGCCATAAGACGACTGGAGGTGGTGGCAAGGAGGGGTGTAGGAGGAGGAGAGGGTGGGGAAAGAGGGAGAGCCAGGAATAGAGCAAATGTCGCCAGACTTTAGGAGAAGGAGACTGAGGAGGATGTGGATGTGGGACCTGGATTTCTGCTGCTGGGAGAATGTGGGAAGGAGAGAGGTAGAGTTGATTGGAACTGTGGAGGGTTGAGGGTAACAAGGATATTTGTTTTAGCACCTTGTTCTCTGTCTGGGATTGAATAGATGCATTTTCAGACAGCAAAATGCTAAGATACACTAGGAAAGACAATACATTTGCAGTGGGAAGAGTGGATAGTTAGCATTATTAAAACAAAATATACTGTGTTGTTGCTTATGAGTTTTAGCCAGCACTGTGCTTCTTAGAGCTACATGTGTAAGACACGCTTGTTCTGTGGAACTTCAGTCTGTTCTGCAGTGCAGGGTTTCATGGAATAGTTTCCCCAGTTGTTAGCTTTTCTTTCGTGGTAAACATTGTTCTAATTATTTTAATCACTCAGTTGTCAAACCTGCACTGTATAGTTTTAAGTGGCTTGGAAAACAAACTTCTTAACTTTTAGTGGATTGGTAAGTAAACATCATTGGGACTAACCAGTTTCTTGAACTTAGCGGGGAAGCACATATTTGGGCTAGGGGGTATTGTACTGGGGAAAAAATGAGGCTCTATAGCAAAGTGAGGATGGGTCAGTTAGGGACTCAGACTGAGCTGGTTGTCCTGTGAATATTATTATATGACCCAAAGAACAGCAGCAGAGTGAAGACAGTCTGTTTATTCATAACTATACCATAGATAGGTGCTCTGATACCACAATATGGATTCAGGATTTAAAAACAAGATTAGATTATTAGAATAAGTCTATTAATTAATCTTTTTAATTATTTGACCAGCTCTAATAATAAAAATAACATTAGGTGCTGAGCCATTATGTCAGTTCCTGCGTTGCTGTTACCAACAGCGCAGGAATTGAAATAATGGACTGGCTTCTAATCTGGTCGTGGTGTTTTTGATGTTGTTGCCATTTTCTGACATCAGTGTCCCATTCTGAAAGTGTCACCCTTGTGCTAATCAGTAGCAGAAATCCAGGGCCTTGCAGGTCAGTTTTGCGGTGGAGAAGAAATCAGTGGCATGGAAACTGGTTATATACTAAACTTAACTTACTTTATTTACACATGTACACCTTCCCTGAAATGCTATAGTCAAACAGTGTGCCAGTCAATCCCCTCTTCCAGTTATTTTAGCATAACATCAATGGCCAATTCCCAGGGAGCAACTCTGCCTCAAGAATTGCCTCTGATTAGAACCCAGGGCACAGAGCGAACTCTCCTGTTACTCATACAGCTCCCTCTCCCCCAAAATTGCCTCTGCACAAAACATTGCACAACTGAAAACTAACAGCAACACATAATGTCTTCCTCAGTGTCAAAACTTGCTTGCACACTAAGAACTTGGAAGACTGTGTAACAGCACCACCTGATGACTCCTAATTATTTATTAGAGCTGCCCAGATAGCTGAAAACGAGATTAAGCAAGATACAAGTTCTAAATGCCAGATTAAAATATTTCAAAGTGTGGCTTCACTGTGTACATTTCCTTCTCCTTGTGTGCCACAGGTGGGTGGTGCTGCAGTGATGGCTGTTGGCATATGGACCCTTGTTGAAAAAAGCGACTATCTGAATATCCTGGCGTCTAGCACATTTGCCGTGTCTGCATACATCCTGATCTTTGCTGGAGGTCTTGTGATGATTACAGGTTTTCTGGGATTCTGTGCAATCATCAGGGAACAAAGGAGCTGTCTTTCCGCAGTAAGTAACTGGATTTTATTTTTCGTGGAAGCAGACTCTTACTAATAAGGATCTAATAATCCCTCTGTTAAAGAAAAAAGGGCAGGTACAACATTCTGCTAGTGCCTTTACTTGGCCCGGAGGTGGACTATAGCATGAGGAAGTGTATCCTTTACCAAACAAGCAGCATCTTTTGAGGGTGACTTCCCACTATGCCAAGCATTTTCTTTTGTATTTGTGATGCAATTGAAAAACTATTGCTGGATGCCCATGCAATAAAATCAGCTAAAGCAACTTTTAGCAATTTTATCCAATCCAGGTTGGATTCAGAAAAGCTCTAAAGTTACTGGTGAAAATGGACACCCAAGGCCTTCAGAAAAGTGCTGACTGCCACATCCAAACTCAGTGTTAAATGACAGCAGAAAAATTGCAACTTCTTTCTCGTCTGTTTTGCTCCCTATTTCTATCCAAAACTTCCATAACAAAAATGTTGGTATTGCTTTTTACTTCGGTTCACTCTGCAGAGCCAATATAGCTCAGAGGGAGGAAGTGGGAATCTATTCTGGCTTGTGCATTATTGATAGAATTATTTACTAAATGCCAATTAAATGGCCACTCAGTTACAACTGGGCAAACCCATTGGTGACAGAGGAATTGCACAGGTTTCACTGAGGGTATGATCCGAAGACAATGAGTTGCACATGTTCACTGAAGTCAGAGGCAGCAGAAGCTCTCTTTGAGTGGGGGACGGAGGTGCATAAGGAAACCTAAACAAAGCACTGTACTAAGCATAGCTACTGGGGAGAATCGGGGCAGAGAGGGGAAGGAAAGGTTGGAGCTCTGCATGCTAAGCAAGGGGAGCTCCTGAGACTTGATGGAGGGAGATCAGCCAGCTCCAGGCTGGGAAGGGAGTTCCCAGTGGTTCGTGTCCCTCTTGCCAGGGTAGGTGCTCCTGGCTCAGTCACATCACCCCAATTTCGACCTGGCCTGATCCCAGATATTGCAGTGGCCAATCCAGCCCCTCGGGATCCTGGTCTTGCCTCCACTCCAAGAAGCTGCAAAGCCCTACCCTGCCTAAGCAGCCTGAGCATGTGCAGTGTATGGAAGATTGCCGCACACACATGCAGTTTACAGGGAGCGCTGTTTCCCAGAATGTGTAGCAAAACAACTCACGGAGGCAGGAAACATAGATCAGCCCCCATGATATTTCCATTGATGGTAGGCTAGCGCTTGCTGTCCCCTCACCCCCCAGTTTTGCCACCCCTGATTGAAGTCATAATTGGGCCACCAGAATCTTTATTACTGATTCTGTGCAAGAAACAAAAATCCCAGCTTGACTGTCAGACCCCAGGCTGAGTTTGCAGGACTGGTAGTTAGAAAAACTACTTTTTACTTGCAAACTGAGCACATTTGCCTGGAGTCACTGAAAGACCAGAAACATGGCACCCTGCAATGGTATTGTCGGTCACAGTGTCAGTTTTTAGAGATAAACCATGGCTTAAGAGCTGATGTTCCTGGTGGAGGAGTATAAAAGGAAATTAGCAGTTTATATAAGTGATTAAACACCAAGTCAGACTTGAGTGGTTCATAGACCTTGGGTTGGCTGTAAGGGTGAATGTCAACCTACAAGAAAAATTCGTTAGTAGAAGTTTGTCCAGCAGTCTCCATTCAGTTTGCGAAGTAGTATCATAGAAGTGTAGGACTGGAAAGGATCCCGAGAGGTCATTTAGTCGAGTCCCCTGCACTCATGGCAGGACCATGGAGGTAGGAAGTAGCTCAGGGAACAGCAAGGGACTGAGGAGGACTGACTCTGCGTGTTCCAAACAAGGGCCTGAGCTGGAACCCAGCGGAGGTGTGGTTCTGGGTTCCCCTGCCTACCCCAGCCAGAGACTGTTGGAGAAGAAACTCTAAACCCAGGAGTTTCTAGCCCCTACTAGAGCCACACTCCACTGCAAGGAGATACTCTGGAGGCCATAGTGCCCCTTCTACAAGATATAAATAATCACAACTGGGAGGGGAATACAAGTAAAATGTGTTTATATTAATTCTAGCTATCCAAAATTGGGGTATAATTCCAGAGTCAGAAATGAACAGGAGCTGATCTAATTAATCCATAACTCTAATTATTCAACTTTTTATTTATTTTATGTCTCATGGAGCATCTGGAAAATCTGGGTTCACCTGTGCAGCAAATTATATGAGCTCAAAACAAAATTGTTCCTAAACAGAATGAACTTCAAAATTATCCACAAGATGTTAATGGTTCTCTTATAATGTGACAGTGTCTCCCATTCACATGGACTTTTTAACACTTCGTTCTGAATTTTATTGCATTATTTAGTTAAACTTAGGGCCAAATCCTTAAATGCCTATTCAAATAAAACTCCATGAAACACAAAAAACTAGTTTTGTGAAAAAAATTGAAATTTCAAAGTTGTTTGTACTGGACCAACTTTTCATTCCCCCCTCCCAATTTTTTTCGTGACTTTTTAAGACACTTTCCCCCCAAATGTTGTTGAAAACATTATCAGAAATAACATTGAAATGCATATTGATATTTTTTGTATACTGAAAAAATAGTTTGATACAATGAAAAATGTCAATAATCTGGATCATGGTTTTTGAACTAATTTGTAGGGGGGAAATTGGTGGGGGGAAGGGGAAAGAAATGGTTCATGGGAAAATGTCAACTATGTAAATTTGGGGGAAATCATTTTTGAGAAAAAGCCATTTTTCTCTGATTAATTTTTTTATTGATTTTCATATAAAACAGACAATGAAAAGTACAAAAAGGTAAATAACTTACAGCTTGTAAATGTTTCCAAATACTGCACATTTCACAGGATATCCATAAAATTATGCAATTTTACAACTTATCAAATCTACAAGACCAGACAACACAAAACCGGACAACACTACACAGATATAACATGTGAAGTGGTGGTAACAGTAATAAAATAGAAGAAGAAACATAAATAAGTAGAAGAGGAAAGAAGGGAACTAGGGGTGGGGACAGGGGAGGCATTGGGGGTGAATGGAGGTCTCACATTATTTGAGCTATCTTACCACTTTTTTCATCCAGATGTATCTAGAAATGGGGTCTAATTTTTTTCAAATTCATATAACTGCTCTCTACAGCGATAAGCTATTCTTTCTGTGGCTGTTAACTCTTGTTTGAAAAAGGTTGACCAGCTCTAGCTTTGAGTGATTAAATTCTGAGTAAGGACTTCCAGTTTAGATTCATTGATTTCAGTGGGGTTTGAAAGTGATCAGAAACTCTCAGGATCATGACCTGTGCTTATGCCCATGAAATGGCTTCAGTTAGATACAAGGGGACCCACTATAACAGCTTGAAAATAAGCATGGTGCATTGGCAAAGGTGAGCCAAATATGTCATACTGTGACTATTTTAACTGTAAGGCCATTAGTCATGCTTGATTACATATGGTTATCTTAATAAGAAGGATTGTATAGCAGCAGCGGCCTGGATTGTATAGCAGCAGCGGCCTAAGAATTTGTACAGTCATTGCTTACGGATACACAATTGAATCTAAATCTGAAACATTTTGTCTGCTAAAACGATGAAAGTGCTTAAGGGAAGATTTAGATTATGCTTTTTTCCTAATTGACTGCACTCAAACTGGATTTTCAGCAGACTATTTTATTTATAAAAGTTAATTCATTAATACTTCTTTAGCACTTTTCATTCATAGAACTCCAAGTGCATCACAAAGTGGGGGTGGAGGGCAGAGTATATTATCCCCATTTTTAAGGTGGAGCAACTGAGGCACAGAACAGTGAACTGACTTTCCTAAGATTTTACAGCAAGTCAATATCAGAGCTGGGAATAGCTCCAAAGTTTTTTGACTCCTAATCGTGTGCCCTATATAATCACTAAGATGAGATTTCTCTCCACTCCAGAAAGATATTTAAAGGTATTGAAACCCCTGAAACAATCAGGAACTATATCAGTTACAAAACCAAAAATATATGTGTACGTGACTCTCTGAAATGTACAAACAAGAGCAGAGGTATTTCACAGTATGGAACAGTTATTTAGTTAAATAGTAATTGACCGCTGGTTTTATTTCCCCAGCCTTAAAAAAACAAAAAATCCTTCTATAGAAAAGTCATCATCTTTCATTTCATTTTCTTTTCCATCACTCTTGTTTCAAATTTGAGCATTGACATACTACTGACACTCTGCATATTATAAAGGCAAATGAACTGATGAACAAACCTTGGCTGCACAGGAGTGCTCTGAGCCAAGATAAAATCTATAACTAATATGAGTAATGCATTGTACAAAAAGGCTGCCATATGGAGCCATTCATTATCCCTGTGCATTTGTTATAACAGGGAGAGAGATGGGTACTTGCCTTAAATGAGCCAAATTATATTTCAGCCTATTGCAAGACTATACTGAATAACTATTAAAATGAAAGTCATAATGAACATAAAAGCAAATTGCCTCCACTGGATTTTCTCTAGCGAACAAACATCACATAATGATTGTCAAAAAAATCGGAAGCTTTTTCCGATAGATAAATTGCACCTTTAAGCTATGCAAAAACAATAAGGAGTCTGGTGGCACCTTAAAGACTTTAAGGTGCCACCAGACTCCTTGTTGTTTT